CAATCATTACCATCAGCCAAACAAGATTTTAAAAGTTTTTGTCAATGCCTGAAAACATTTTTGCAAGAGAAGTTAAAAAGTGGGTATATGAAATAAGACTAAGCAGAAAACCTTTCCCCTATCTTTTCCTCCCAGGGTTCCCCGAATATATATGACCATGAAGTCACCATAGAAGCGGATACTTACTTGCCTGTGGATGAAACCCTGATTCCTATAGGTTGGTGAATTTAACCTTTTTTGTGTTATGTGGGATCTTGGATTGGCTCTTGAGGCCAAGAAAGACATTAGTGGAGAAAGTGGTGAAATCTTTATAAAGTCTGTAGTTTAGTTAATAGAATTATTCCAGTGGTAATTTCTTAGTTTTGATATGTGTACTGTGTTTATGTAGTCTTAGCATGAGGGAAAGCTGGGACAGAGATGTAGTATTTTTACCACTTTTCTGTAAGTCTAAAATGATTTCAAAATTTTAAAAATTTTTAAAAAATGGTGAGTAAGATAATACTTTACTGGGGCTGGGCATGGTGGCTCATACCTGTAATCCCAGCACTTTGGGAGGCCAAAGCGGTTGGATAACTTGAGGCCAGGAGTTAGAGACCAGCCTGAGCAACATGGTGAGACCCTGTCTTATTTTTTTTTAAGATTAAAAAAATGTTTTTTTGGCCGGGTGCAGTGGCTCACGCCTGTAATCCCAGCACTTTGGGAGGCCGAGGTGGGCAGATCACGAGATCAGGCGATTGAGACCATCCTGGCTAACATGGTGAAACCCTGTCTCTACCAAAAACACAAAAAATTAGCCGGGTGTTGTGGCAGGCGCCTGTAGTCCCAGCTACTTGGCAGGAAAATGGAGTGAACCCGGCAGGAGGTTGTAGTGAATCGAGATCGTACCACTGCACTCCAGCCTGGGCGACAGATAGAGACTCCGTCTCAAAACACAAAACAAAACAAAAAATTTTTAATGCAAAAGAAATTTTAAAAAATTTTAAGTAAGTTTACTGGATACTCGTCTTACACCAGGTAACAGCTTTTGTTTTAGTTGGCTTTTTTGGGGGTTCGGGGGAGGGGACAGGGTCTCACTCTGTTGCCCAGGCTGGAGTACAATGGCGTGATCTTGGCTCACTGCTGCCTTGACCTCCGCAGGCTCAGGTGATTCTCCCATCTCCACCTCCTGAGTAGCTAGGACCACAGGCATACACCATCATGCCCGTTGTATTTTTTAGTAGAGACAGGGTTTGACCAGGCTGGTCTCAAACTCCTGGACTCAAGCAATCTGCCCGCCTCGGCCTCTCAGAGGGCCCGGATTACAGGTGTGAGCTGCTGCGCCCAGCCACTTTATTGTCTTTAATGGGTTGAGTTTATGGCTGCTAGTTCAAACTTTTTATGAGGAAGAAAGGTAAGCATGTGAGCCTGCATACCAAACAACAACTTCAGTTAACAGCAGGCATTAGGAACTCCCATAAATAGAGTGACTACAAAACTAATTGGAATAATAAGGAAAAATTGAGATCAATGGGGTCAAATTTTTGGCATCACAGTTTTGAATATTTTCCTGGCTCCAGGGCTGAGTTTAAAGGCTTTTCTGTTTGTCTTGGTAGCACGTGTCATCTTGTGATATTTACATGACTCAGTAGAAGGGCATGAGTAAGCTGGCTCATCTGGTCCTAGAGTCAGAATTATTGCAGTAGAACTATATGTTGTGAACTGCAAGGAAAAAATAGTGGTGGCTGCTGTTTTATGACTGATAAGGAAGAAAGTGAATCAATTAGCTTATAAGTGAAGGTTATGAAATAAGTGCACATTTATTTGTGTATATTTATGAAATCTTCTCATGCTATCTGGTTGAGTTGATGAGATGAAAATCACAACAGGGCATAATTTGTGCATTTAAAGGCCCTGTAAAGGCCAAGTTATTTTACTTGATTGTAAAAAGTCATTGTGGCAAAGCATAGTAGGGCTTAACATGCACTCTAATGGACTGTATAAAATTTGTGTTCGCTGGGTGTGGTGGCTCACACCTGTAATCCCAGCACTTTGGGAGGCTGAGGCAGGGGAGGATCACTTGAGCCCAGGAGTTCGAGACCAGACTGTGCAACACAGTGAGATCCCATCTCAACAAAAAATTGAAAAAAAATAGCCAGGTGTGGTAACACGCACCTGGGGTCCCAGCTACTCAAGAGGCTGAAGCAGGAAGATCTCTCAAGCCCAGGAGTTGGAGGCTACAGTGAGCCGTGATCTCTGCTACACTCCATCCTGGACAACATAGCAAGACCCCATCTCAAAAAAAAACCTAACTGGGACTATATATGTTATATTTCAGCTTTTTCTTTTTTTTAAAAAAAAAAGACCAAACTATCATTTATAATCATCATCTTTTCATGAAAGAATATTTTAGTACCATAAAAGTGTAAATATATTTAATCTCAGAATAACAACTATTTATATTGAATTTATGTAGCTTTTTAAAAAATATATGGTATCACTTGGAGCCAATACTGTAAAAAAATAAATAAATAGCAGATTATCCAAATGCATCTGTTTTCTGTGGACCAGTGAAAATGTTATCACTAACTCATAATTGAGAACTAGTAATTGATCTGTAAGGCCACTTCTATCTCTTGCATTCTTTAATTCTACGAGGCTCCTAGCACGACATTTTACTGCTATTTCCACAACTCTTCAAATGCTTTAGAACTCTATCATTGAAGTAAATAAGTTGCTGCAACTTCAGAGCTCATGAAAAATTTGTAATTCTCTCCTACCTATCCATACTTGAGCCAGACCTACATGTTATACCTGTTTGCCCAGTGACACTTAAACAGAAATTATAGTATTGTTTTCTCTTTTCTCAGAAGTCCTTAAGAAACAAGTTTATTGTCTGATTCCTTTGAAACTTCCTCCAAAAATGGGTGGTAACTGCTACCCTGCACTTTAGGAATGTAAGAATTCACATGTCTAGCCCCCTTTCAACTGAGAACAAATCTCTAGGAGCCCAGATTTTCTCTTTTTTTTTTTTTTTTTTTTTTTTTGTAGAGACAGGGTCTCCCTATGTTGCCCAGGCTGGTCTTGAATCTCTAGGCTCAAGCAATCCTCCCACCTGGGCCTCCCAGAGTGCTGGGATTACAGGTGTGAGCCACCACGCTGGTCCTCATCTGACTCTTAACACTGATCAAAAGCCCATGAGCTTAATTTTGAAAGAAGTCCAAAAGGCTTGCCCATCATTTGATCATTCAGAAGTGCTGCTGGGCTCTCCAGGAGCTGGCAGTCTATGGGAAGGGTCAGCCAGAATTGTGTCCATTACTCTGGAAAATATCAGGATAGACATAACTAGGAGACTTGGCACAGAGGGCAGGCGCTGCTGAGGGGGCTTCCAGATAGAGGAAATGAGAGTTAAATAAAACCTGGAAGGGAAAGTGAAAGTTTGCCAGGGAGTGAGGAGGAGAAAGGTGTTCCAGATAAAGATGAACAAGCGTGGGCGGTGCAAGAAACAGCAGGACTAGCCCAGGGAAGTGCTGTGCTTTTGAAGCAAAGCATTTGGGGCATAATTTTAGTGGCAGAGAGTAGATGGGCCTGGAGAGGTTGATTGCAGCCATGTCAGATCTGTACCAGGCTCTGTGGAACTGTGATCCCTAGGGTGGCCTTGGGTGGCCCCAGGCTGGCCTGGAGCTCAAGGCCGATCCACATAGCTGATTCACAGGTGTACCTGAGTCCAGTCTCAAACTTCAGCGTGTTCTGCCAGAGCTGGACTGAACCACAAGGCCACTTTCCTGAGACGTGCTACAAGAACCTATTAGACCAGGCCGGGCACAGTGGCTAACATCTATAATCCCAGCAATTTGGGAGGCCGAGGTGGGCAAATTATTTGAGATCAGGAGTTCAAGACCAGCCTGACCAACATGGCGAAACCCCGCCTCTACTAAAAGTTCAAAACTTAGCTGGGTGTGGTGGTGGGTGCCTGTAATCCCAGTTACTTGGGAGGCTGAGGCAGGAGAATTGCTTGAACCTGGGAGGCAGAGGTTGCAGTGAGCCAAGATCACGCCACTTTACTCCAGCCTGGGAAACAGTGAGACTCCGTTTCCAAAAGAAAAAAAAGAAAGAAAGAAAGAAAGAAAAGAACCTGTTAGACCGGTCGTACTCCATTAAGACTTCTCAAAATAAATATGCATTATCTACCAACTGTGGTTTTGTTGAATTGAGAAAAAGAAGATACTGATTATCTGTGAGATAAGGTAAAGATTTATGATAATAATAGCTAGTATTTCAGGGAGGACTTTATAAATAATTCATAACACAAACCTGTAAGGTAAGTTCTGTTCATTTTTCTTATTTAACAGATGTCAAAACTATAGAACAAGGAGTTAAAGTACCTTACAGAGGATGACCCAGTTAGCAAGTGGGGGAAAGCTGGGATTCACACCAAGGTAGTCTGGTATTAGAACTCAGGCTCTTAATAGACCTGCACTCTGCAGATCTTACAGTGTGGTTAGATGTCAAGAAGGTTCGGTGCCAGACACAGTGGCTCACACCTTTAATCCCAGCACTTTGAGAGACCAAAGATTGGTTGAACCCAGGAGTTCAAGAGCAGCCTGGGCAACATAGGGAGACCCCATTAATACAAAAAAAATGTTTTTAGTTAGCCAGGAGTGTCAGTGCATGCCTGTGGTCCCAGCTATTTGGGAGGCTGAGGTAAGAAGATTGCTTGAGCCCAGGAGGTCAAGGCTGAAGTGAGCTGTGATTGTGCCACTGCACTTCAATGTGGGTGAAGAGCAAGACCCTGTCTCAAAAAAAAAAAAAAGAAGAAGAAGAAGATTTGGGAGGTAAGGGAGAGGCAGAAAGGAGTGAGGATAGAAAGAAAAGTAAAATAATTTCTTTCTTTTTTTTTTTTTTTGAGAATAGCGTGACCAGGAGGCGGAGCTTGCAGTGAGCCGAGATCACGCCACTGCACTCCAGCCCGGGGGACAGAGTGAGACGCCGTCTCAAAAAAAAAAAACACACACACACACACACAAAAAATTAATTTCTTAACTATATAAATACCCAAGTGCAACATATAGTCAAGAAATGGGAAGTAAGCCAAAACAAAGAACATACTTTTGCCAGTTGTCAGTCCTCAGCTCTTTTGTCACCTTTTGTACAGGGAGCCTCCCCAGTCCTCTCACTGTCTCCTCCTTGTTCCTTCCTCCCTTCAATTTATTTCTACTTTTCTGCAAAGAAAACAGGAAACCAAGTTTGTTTAAATTAAATATAAGAAAGGGAGAGAGAGAGAGAAAGAGGAAGGAAGGAAAGGAAAAAGGGAAGGAGGGAGAGGTTTTCTTGAAATTAAAGAGCATGAATTTAAGTGTCTGTCCTTGTTAGTCTGACAAGAAAGGGAAAGTCCAAGGAAAGTCACCTCAGGTGTCATTGTTCTGTTGCAACATGTGGTGTTCCTGACGGATCCCTTGTCTTTCCGGTTCTTGGTTTTCTCATATGCAGAATCTTGTTGTGACCAAGTTGTGTTGGAAGTTCACTTTCTTTAAGTATGTATGTTGGTCATCTCTGTTGAAGATGATAGAAAAATCACCGTCAGTAGAAAATTTACAAACAGGCCAGGCGTGGTGGCTCATGCTTGTAATCCCAGCACTTCAGGAGGCAGAGGCGTTTGGATTTTTGAGCCCAGGAGTTCGAGACCAGCCTTGGCAACAAGGTGAAACCCCGTCTCTACGAAAAATACAAAAATTAGCCAATCTCACAGCCCGGTCTCGAAATAAAATAAATAAATAAATATATTAAAATTTCAAAAAATGAAAGAAAGTTTACAGACATAGTCAAAGAAAAGCCATACCACTTACAGGGTGGCGTTCAGCTATCTGGAGCAGCCCCGTATGGTGGGTACTTCATTTATCCGGGGAAGATGCCAGATAATGAGCTCATTTTAGACCCTTTGCTCTCCCTGGCTTTCCCTGGGAAGGCTGCTTGGTTGTGTTGAAACCCTCAGAAATCAACAGTAGAAAACTTCTCTAAAACAGCTTTGGCCTTTTTGCATATGAATGACTTTTACTCTGTAAATCAGTTCTTTTGTTTACCATCCTAGTCCTCTGCTTTCCACCCCAAATCCTGGTTTATATGTTTGTGGTTTTCTTTGTTTGTTTGTTTGCTTGTTTGTTTGTTTTTTGACATGGAGTCTCACTCTGTTGCCCAAGCTGGAGTACAGTGGCTTGATCTCAGCTCTCTGCAGCAACCTCCACTTCCCAGGTTCAAGTGGTTCTCCTGCCTCTGCCTCCTGAGTGGCTGGGATACAGGTGTGCATGCCACCACGCCCAGCCAATTTTTGTTTTTTTGGTAGAAATGGGGTTTCATCATGTTGGCCAGGCTGATCTTGAACTCCTGACCTAAAGCCTCCCGCCTTAGCATCACGAAGTGCTGGGATTACAGGCGTGAGCCACCACATCCGGCCTATATGTTCTTAAAATCTCTCTTCCTAGGGTCATGAGAATTCTCATTGATTTCACTTAGAGCTCCTGGAGAGAAAAGCCTCTATTTTTGTCATTGTAACAATAAAAAAAGTGTAGAGGTTTTTTTTTCTTTTGAGACAGTGTTTCGCTCTTGTTGCCCAGGCTAGAGTGCAGTGGTGCGATCTTAGCTCACTGCAACCTCCACCTCCTGGATTCAAGCGATTCTCCTGCCTCGGCCTCCCAAGTAGCTGGAATTACAGGCATGTGCCACCACACCTGGCTAATTTTGTATTTTTAGTAGAGTCAGGGTTTCATCATGTTGGTCAGGCTGGTCTCGAACTCCTGACCTCAGGTGATCTACCTGCCTTGGCCTCCCAGAGTGCTGGGATCACAGGTGCGAGCCACTGTGTCCAGTTTTTTGTTGTTGTTGTTGTTGTTTTGAGACAGGGTCTCATTCCATTGCCCAGGCTGGAACACAGTGGCACAATCATAGCTCACTGTAGCATCAAACTTCTGGGCTCAAGCAATCTTCCTGACTCAGCCTTCCAAATACCCAGGATTACAGGTGCACACCACCACGCCCAGGTAATTTTTTCTTTTTTTACATAAATGTGTCTCAACATGGATTTTTTTTTTTTTCTTTTTTGGCAGAGATGATGTCTCACTGTGTTGCCAGGCTGGTCTCAAAATCCCTGCCTCAAGCCATCCTTCCACTTTAGCCTCCCAAAGTGCTAGGATTACAGGTGTGAACCACCGCACCTACCCCCAAGAACTCTTTTTTTTTTTTTTTTTTTTTTTTTTTGAGACGAAGTCTTGCTCCGTCAACCAGGCTGGAGTGCAGTGGCACGATCTCAGATCACTGCAACCTCTGCCTCCCAGGTTCAAGCAATCCTCCCACCTCAGTCTCCCGAGTAACTAGAATTACAGGTACATGCCACTACGCCCAGCTAATTTTTGTATTTTCAGTAGAGAGGGGGTTTCACCACATTGACCAGGATGGTCTCAAACTTCTGACCTCAAGTGGTCCACCCGCCTTGGCCTCCCAAGGTGCTGGGATTATGGGCATGAGCCACTGCACCCGGCCCCCAAGAACTCTTTAAATGCACCTAGTGTCACAAGAACAGATAGCTAAACTGTGTCTGAAAAAGTGGCTCACACAGGGAAATTTGTGATGGATTTGGGGAAGCTTAGGGCAAATTTTAAACATGAGGCCTTTTGTCAGATCACCTACATTCCTCGGATTGTGCGTGAGTTTGTCGCAGATGCTTGATGTGACAAATTACACGGCTCATATCGCTTCATTTGATCAGCCACCCGTTGACTTTCAGCCAAGTCCTGCAGGGTTGCTTCTCAGATTGTATCTTTCTGCAAGACAAATATGTTTTCATAGTCTCTCTTTAACTTCTCCCTTTTGTGGCTATTAATTTATACTTTTATGTTTTTCAACTCCTTATTTTTGTTTTCTCTTTATGAAAGCTTTTAACGTGTGCTATTCTTGAGGGAAATACTGATGCATATCTAAACTTTAGGGGTGTTTTTCATGCTGGCTACAGACACTCGGTAAATAATTTTTCAGGTGATGGGAAAACCCATCATCATGAGAATGTAGCAACTTTTATTTTGTAGTAACTGTTAAAATTGTGGCCATGGTGCTCAGTAAAAGGGGACCTTCCCCTTGTAGATGTTTGGGGAGGAGTGAAGTCCTGTCCTCCATTTTGTTAGTAAACTGCTTATGGATGGGGCATTATCACCTAGAAAGAAAAGAGATACCATGGTATGCAGTAACAGGGAGCCGGAGCAAGAGCAAGACAAAGAAATTCCCTTATGCTTTCAATGCAGAGCCAGCATTTAGACCTCAACCTCGGGCAGGGCCCACAAATATCTGGCAGCTGTGAGCACCTGTTTTGCTCCTGCCTTCTTCCTGTTGGCAGTTTTGAGTTTTGGTGGTTTTTTAGACAGAGTCTCACTCTGTCACCAGGCTGGAGTGCAGTGGTACAATCTCGGCTCACTGCAGCCTCCGCCTCCTGGGTTCAAGTGATCCTCTTGCCTCAGCCTCCTGAGTAGCTGGGACTACAGGTGCGTACCACCACAGCCAGCTAATTTTTGTATTTTTAGTAGAGATGGGATTTCGCTATGTTGCCCAGGCTGGTCTCAAACCCCTGACGTCAAGTGATCTGCCCACTTCAGCCTTTCAAAGTGCTAGGATTATATATATACGTATATATTTTAAATATACGTTTTATATATATAAATATAAATTATATATATGTATATATTTTAAATATATGTTATATTTTAAATATATACATATATATTTTAATATACATTATATTTTGAATATACATTATATATAAATATAAATTATATATATACGTATTGAGTGCATGACCCTTACTCACAGGTGCTTCTTTCCTGTCCCATGGCAGGCGGCACCAACAGAAGGCTTCTGCAAGGCTGAGAGCTCCTTTTACCCATGGACCAGGAGCAAAGTTTGCAGCTACACTGTCAGGCTGTGTTTGGATGTTAGCAGTTAGTTTAGCTTTGCGTCTTCAGAGCAATTATCCTTAGCTATTTAAAGATTTAAAAAAAGGGAAAAAAAATGACGCCCATAAAGCATTTGCTGCTCCGTAGGATGGGAGCACACTCTATTGTTGGGCATTTGAGGCCCTCTGGCATGAGTTTTCTGTTTATTGTTGTCAGGGCTGTCCCTGTAGTTTCCCAGAAGTAGAACTCCCCGAAGCTGTTTCCCAGAAAGGACAGGGGTGTAGATAATGGATGTCCAGAGACAGAGAACACTCCAGTGCCAGATCCGTGTGCTGCTTTGTCAGACATTTGTTTATTTATTATTTTGTTTGTTTGTTTTTGAGATGGGGTCTCACTGTGTTGCCCAGGCTGGTCTTGATCTCCTGAGCTCAAGTGATCCTCCCACCTCAGCCTCCTAAAGTGCTGGGATTACAGGCATGAGCCACTGTGTCCAGCTGTTGTTGTTGTTGTTATTATTATTATTATTATTATTATTATTCTGAGACGGAGTTTTGTTCTTGTTGCCTAGGCTGGAGTCCAATGGCACAACCTCGGCTCACTGCAACCTCCGCCTCCTGGGTTCAAGCGATTCTCCTGCCTCAGCCTCCCGAGTAGCTGGGATTACAGACACCCGCCACCATGCCCAGCTAATTTTTGTATTTTTAGTAGAGGCGGGGTTTCACCATGTTGGCCAGGCTGGTTTCGAACTCCTAACTTTAGGTGATCCACCCACCTCGGCCTCTCAAAGTGCTGGGATTACAGGCATGAGCCACTGTACCTGGCCCCAGCTGTTATTATTTTTCATTGATACCTAATACATATTTAATTGATACCTAATACATATTTACAGGGTCTATTGTGATATTTTGATACATGTTTACAATGTGTAAGGATCAAATCAGGGTAATTAGCATATCCATCACTCAAACATTTATCATTTTTTTGTGTTGGAACATTCAAAATCTACTGTTCTAGCTATTTGAAAATATACAATAAATTGTTAATTATAGTCACCCTATAGTGCTTTAGAGCACTAGAACTTATTCCCCCTATCTAGCTGTACTTTTGTAACCATTAAGCAACCTTTAGGCTGTGCACAGTGGCTCATGCCTGTAATCCCAGCACTTTGGGAGGCCGAGGTGGGTGGATCACCTGAGGTCAGGAGTTCAAGACTAGCCTGGGCAACATAGCAAGAACCGTCTTTAAAAAGAAAAGAAAAGAAAATTTAAAATTTTCTTCACTGATCATTCAGGAGCATATTGTTTAATTTCCGTGTATTTGTACAATTTCAAAAGTTCACCTTATTGTTGAGTTCTGGTTTTATTCCATTGTGGTCAGGAAAGATACTTGATATAATTTCAGTTACTTTAAATTTGTTGAGACTTGTTTTGTGGTCAAACATATGGTCTGTTCTGGAGAGTGTTTCTTGTGCTGATGAAATAATGTGTTTTCTGAATCTGTTGGATGAAATGCTCTGTAAATGTCTCTTTGTTAGTCTAAAATGCAGGGGTTTTTTGTTTTTTTGAGAGTCTCACTCTGTTACCCAGGCTGGGAGTGCAGTAGCATGATCTTGACTCACTGCAACCTCCACCTCCCAGGTTCAAGCAATTCTTATGCCTCAACCTCCCAGGTAGCTGGGATTACAGGTGCCCACCACCACACCCAGCTAATTTTTGTATTTTTAGTAGAGACAGGGTTTTACTATGTTGACCGGACTGGTTTTAAACTTCTGGCCTCAAGTGATCCACCTACCTTAGCCTCCCAACGTACTAGGATAACAGATGTGAACCACTGCGCCCCGCCTAAAGTGCAGTTTAAATCTAGTGTTTTGTTGTTGATTTTCTGTCTAGATGATCCGTTCGGTGCTGAGAATGTGGTGTTGAATTCCCCAGCTATTGTACTGGTGTCCACGTCTCCCTTTAGATCTAATAATAATTTGCTTTATATTATATACCTGGGCGCTCCAGTGTTGGGTGCATATAGATTTAGAATTGTTACGTCCTCTTGCTGAATTGATCCCTTTACCATTATATAATAACCTTTTTCTTTTTTTTAATCGTTTTTGACTTGAAGTCTGTTTCATGTGATGCAAGTACAGCTACCCTGCTTGCTTTTGGTTTCTGTTTGCATAGAATATCTTTTTCCACCCTTTCAGTCTATGTGTGTCTTTACAGATGAAGTGAGTTTCCTGTAGGCAACCATAGTTGGGCCATATTTTTTAATCCATTCAGCCAGTCTATATATTTTAAGGGGGGGAAATTTAATCAGTTTACATTCAAGTTTATTATTGATAGGTGAGGACTTCTGTCATTTTGTTAATTATTTTCTGTTGTTTTTTTTTTTTTTATATCCTTTGTTCTTTTCTTCCCCTCTTATTATTCATCCTTGTGATTTGGTGGTTTTCTATAGTGGTAAAGTTTGATTCTTTTCTTTCTTCTTTGTGTATGTGCTCTACCAGTGAGTTTTATACTTTTTGTGTTTTCTTGATAGTAATTATCATTTCACTTCCAGATGTGGAACTCCCTTGAGCATTTCTTGTAAGACTGGTCTAGTGGTGATGAATTCTGTCAGTTTTTGTTTGTCTGAGATATGTCAGACATTTAGTTTCAGGACCTGATTCTAGTTCCCTGCCCTGTGGCAACAAGTAGAAACAGATCCCTGGTACACTGCTTAAGTATTAGGCCAGCTAGATGTGAGCAGATAAGAAAATCAAATCCTTCTATTTTGCCAGGGATTAATTCATTCTCAGGATTGTAAATATTACATTTCACCTTCACCTCACAGAACTGTAGAATTAGGGGGTGAGCTGGGCAGCCTGCCCAGCAAGACATTATGATGTGTACAACACAGTGCACTGCTAAGGAGGTGTGTTAAAAGGCATTTATAGCACATAGCTTTTTTTTTTTCCTTATAAGTTTGGTGCTCATTATTTGTAGTAGTAGATAAGGAATTAAGAAAGCAAAAACGAGTGCTTTGACTAGGTCTTTTGCCTTTGAAGGTAACATTAGTAAAATCCCCTCTTCTTTTTTATTCTTATAAAATTTACCCAATTCACTCTGCCCCCCAGCCCATCTGTGTTCACTTGCTGTTCTTGATGCTCTCAGTTTTTAAAAGCTTATTCTAAAATTACATGAAAGCAACCCCATTTTGACAAAATTAGAATTCTGGTAGGAAACGCTTGCCACAAGGCTATGGAGAGAGGCCCAGCAAGACTTTTGTATTTTTTTTCAACCTCTCTCGGTTAAACCTACAATTCGGTAGATGATATAATTACCTCCCTGGGGTAAGTCTCTATCTCTGCCTTGGAGAAATAACAAAGTCCAAAGTAGTCTCTTCATTCAAAGATGTTGCAAATGAAGGCTGTTTTGATCTTTATGTATTAGCATTTGGGTTTTAATCTTTCTGGAGCTCCTGACAGAAAATTCCTTTACATTTATTATATAATTCTAAAATATTGGACATATTTGTTGCAAGCATCTGTCAATATCCTTACTCTTTCCATTCTACTCCCCACTGCCTTCATTAGTCATCAGGTCCTACTGATTTTTAACTCCTAAGTATTTCTCAAATCTGTCTCCTCAGTGTGTATCATGGGTTATATAACTCCATCTCCATTGTCACTGTGCTGCTTTAGACTATCTTTTCTTGTCTAGATTAGTGCCTGGCTTATGTTATGGGCTTCATAAAGTGGGATCAATGAATGAATGATTCATATTCTGGACAACTGCACTCTAACACCTAACTGAAAAAAAAAAACTTAACCTCTATCTTCCATGTAAAAGCATCTATCTAAAAGGCAAATCTTACCTTGATAATCTCCAGGTTAATAAACCTCTTAGACAGTTCCCAGGCCTCCCCAAAACCATCTCTCATTTCACTGATCAAAAAAATAAAAATTTAAAAATTGTAAAACTAAAAAAAAATCAAACATTTCTCTGGTCAAAAAACAAAACCAAAAATGATCTCTGAGCATGCCTCACTCACACCCCAC